ATGAGTGAATTTGGTAACTGACAATAAAAAATGAACTAATTAAGAAAATAGCAAAGAAAAAAGTAGATTTAAGAAATTGTCAAAAGGATACCGAAAATGTTGAAGTGCAATAGCGTACAAACGCGTTTTCTATAACATGCATGTGGGTAAAGCATAGAAATGATGGCATGACATCAACAAATGCGAACAAGTTGTTGGTAAGCTAATTAGCATTTAATAATATGTATAAGTCACAGTGTAGTCCATGTTTTAATATAGTGTGAAATTTTACTATATATGCAGTTACATACAGGGGCGGTTCAAAAAACCAAAAAAAAATTTTGGGTCCTGGGCAAAATTTTTATTTTTATAAAAAACTGATCTATTTTTAATAAATCTAAAAATTTGGGCCCTTATTTACAATACAAAATACTAAAAAATTGGTGGGCCCTGGCATTTGTACCTGCTGCACCTGCCCAAAAACGCCACTGGTTACATAGATGTCTTTGAAACATGTTTGAATTCAATGGTGACTCTTATCGACATACTTAGCGGCCTCGTTCGTGGAGAACAAGGATGGTGGAAAAACAAAATGTGATGGTGTGTCGAAGTTTGTACTGTTGAAAGGGGATAAAATTGCGTGAAAGAGAAGGGGTGGAGTCGGTCCAAGCCAAAGAGACTATGGAGATGTTAATCAATAATACAAAAGAAAATGTGGAGCTAACCTATGAGATGCCTAAATGGATGGACAATGACGGTAACATGAAACCAATCCCTATTCATATTTGCACAGACGAAGAAATGAATATGTTTCTAACGATGAGGGTCCATTTGCACAAGCTAAAGTTGTATGTGGTTCCACTACTAAAACACATGACTCTTTAAGCTGATTATTTTAATGTCGTACTGGTCAACCATGGATTAGCATATGCGGAGAACGTAAAAGAATTTGGGAAGGATACTACCGGAAATGCTAAGAGGACACACTCAACTTCTAGCAACAACATTAAATTCAAACTTTAATTATAGATTTGACAAACGTTTTACAACATCTATATAAAATAAAATAGACATGCAAGTTTAAAAATATACAAGCATCTTGAAACATAAACCTCTACGAAAAATAATAGATGTCCAATGTAAAAAAAGGTATTACAGTTGTAACTTGTAGAGATGCACATGAAAAAATAGCTGTGTAAGTTTCCCCATATACATGTAACATGAATTACATAAAACCCAAAATTTAGTGAATACCCACGAAAGAAACTGACCGCCTCATCATTATCAAGTTCCCACACTTGTCAAGCTTTAACGCAATAAATGTCTGACTTTCTTTATCTTTTGACTATGGATTCGTTCCATCAACAACAAGGGATACAACATGGGCAGTTTGGAGAATTACGAGTTGCAAAATCCTTCGATAACAACAGTGGCTTGGGCAAGAAGTGGTACTGTCTTTGATTTGATACATTGGATAGATCAGTACTATATTAGTTAGCGGAACTGGCCCTAGATCTGTAAAAACAAACGAACTAACCTAAAATCATTAACATGCTAAAACATAAATCAGTAGAACGAATAAAAAAACATGAATAATTAACTGAAATCAACAACAATGATATAATTAACTGAAATCAACAACAATGATCGGCTAGTCTAATTGTTGTTAAGCAAAGACACAAACGCGAAGGAAAAATGTGTCATAGCCAGAAGCTCTACCACTAACGATGATCTAAACAATCGGTGATAAACACATAAGAGATATTAAAGCAGAGAGATAGGAACCACAATATTAACACAATCATCAACCGCTTCTTCTCTGTCTGCAAAAACACGGATAGGGAGGGAGGTCATATCCATGTCTCTATACACAAATCGAAAATATTATCAAAAATTGAAAATAAAGATGAACAAACATGTACGAACATAAAGATGAACAAACATATACCAAAACCCATCTCTTGAGACGAAGCGTAAGGTAATACATAGATCCGTAAAAATATTACGTAGCGAAGTAAAACTTTACATAACAATTAAATATTCGAGATAACCCCGTAAATAAAAAATTAGAGCTATAAAATCAAACGTAGCTCCCCAAAATACTTAAGACACGAGAAAATAAAACTTAAATCTGTAAAAAGATGAGACGCACAAAATCGTTGACATGCATGACCCTTTTGTCACAGCGGACACAACAAAGAGGAACATTCATAGCAAACAAAATCGCGAAAATCAAAAATTTTAGTGTATTCAAAAATAAAAAGAAACAAAAGGAAAGACGAATTCGGAGCAAAAGAAGATCTTGTACCACAAAATCGGTGAAAAGAATCGGAGTATCGGACGATTCCGCATACCAAACGAATCACGCCCTAAAACCTAACCACACAAAAAGGGAAACGAAATTCTGGGTAAAGGAAGACCACCTACCAAAAATCGTTGAAAAAAACATAAAGTTTGGCCGATCTATGATAATGAAAAAAGAGAAGAACAAAAATGAAAACGAGATGCGATGGAATAAAGAAAGAACTGAACAGTTGGATGTGAAACATTCACACGCAAAAATCATTTTGTTTTACGAGCTCATTTAATGTTAGTGACAAGCGAGAAGGAGAAACTCCGTAACGCGTAAAGTCAATAAGATCACAATCGATGGCTAAATATTCTTCCTTAGTAACAAGTAAACTATTCTTGTCATTCTCTTAATTAAGTCTAACAGTATTGTCATTGGTTACAAATACTCTTTTGTTATTAGACTTTCACCAAACATCAGCTACTTTTCATCTACAATTCATTGATATTGATCGGAGACAAATTAATTGATCAATTACGAGAAATCAAAATCAAACCTTTTGTCTTTTTTCGTAATCCTAGTTTTGA